GCTCAGGGCATGTCAAAGACATCTCCGAAGCTGCAGCTCGGCTGTTTAGGGTTTCGGGGTGTAGGGGTTTAGCGTTTAGGGTTTCGGGTTTAGGGTTTAGGGTTGGGGGTTTAGGGTTTAGGGGTTTAGGAGTTGAGGGGTTTAAGGTTTAGGGTTTTGGGTTTTGGGTTTTGGGTTGGGTTTAGGGTATCCGTAAACTCGATAAGGGAGTCTTGGTGGCATTCTTGGCACGCCTTAAGAAGTGTACTGCGTCGTGGATTTTTCCTCAGAAGGGGGTAAGCCTAGCGGCGAAGTCGGCTTGACGGGGAGTAGGGTTTGGAGGTGAGGCCATGCCAAAAAAAGCGCGCGTTGTGAGCGCGCATCAGTCTGCAGACTTACCCACACCAAGACCAGCCGCTTGCAACTCTCAGGCCTTGCAGCCTCTAGTCTTCACATTTTCTTCTAGAAGAGAAGCACACGCCCATGGTGGCAAGGCCCACGTTGCAGAAGTGGTTGCTAGGGTCTACGCTGTCTCGCAGCATAGACATGGTCCGGCAAAATACGGATGCCTGAAACACACCCCGGGGTTGACGGTGCCCGTTGCGCGAACAGGGTTTTGTCACGTTGCCGAGGCTTACCCAACCTGGTAAGTACCCTAAACCCTCAACCCCTAAACCCTAAACCCTAAACCCTAAACCCTAAACCCTAAACCCTAAAACCCTCAACCCTCAACCCCTAAACCCTAAACCCTTAACCCCTAAACCCTAAAACCCTCAACCCCTAAACCCCTAAACCACCGGCCCGGCGCTCTTGGGCCAGTGGTCCGCTGTTCAGCTCTAAGGGCTTCCTGAGAGCCCTCCGTGGGCTTCCAGGGCAGCGGGTGTGGGGGTTTAGAACAGTCATATGAGGGTTGACGAAATTATGCTGTTTAGGGTTTGGGGTTTGGGGTTTAGGGTTTAGGGTTTAGGGGTACGTTATTGGGATCCTGTTTATAAGGGGATCCTACGATTTGGGGGTTCACATTAGGGGTCGCCTATTTCGTAAACCCCCATATAACAAGGGGTAGTGCCCCACACGAGGGCCCTTACAATACTCACTTGGAAGACCGAACTCACGCTTACCCTACAAGACAAGCGCGGCGCATGTGGGGTGGCAGCCCTACACCCCTCTAAACCCCAAAACCCTAAACCCCAAAACCCTGAAACCCAAGCTTCAAAAACCCTAAACCCTAACCCAAAACCCTAAACCCTAAACCCCAACCCAAAGCCGCCGGTGTAGGGGCTTAGGGGTCTGCAAAAAAGACGTCCTAAGCTCCTTAAGTGCCGTAAGATGGTTAAAAGTACAGTTCTAAGTACACTCATATTTGGTGAATAAGTACCATGAACCTCCAAGTAGCCCTAAGCCCTAAACCCTAAACTCTAAACCTCTGTAATAAAGACGTGGATCTGGTGTGGGCAGCTGGTGCCAAGGCAGCTCAAGCGGGCTTTCAGCCAGCCTGCGCGGCGAACTCCACAGCTCTTGCATATGGGAGGCCCCCGCCCGTTCCTTGTGTTGGGGGTTTAGGGTTAGGTTTCGGGTTTAGGGTTTAGGGTTTAAGGTTAGGGTTTGGTAGGGGAATGAAGGAGCTCGCACAAACAGCAGTAGCAAACTAGCAGTCCTTAATAGGGATTCTAGTTGCCCGATTAGAGTCCCTATAAACAGAGGGATTATATAGTACCACTATTAGAATCCCTATTAAGGACTGTTAGTAGAAGGTGGAACATCCCCTAAACCCTAAACCCTAAACCCTAAGCATGTTAAGGGTTTGGTGTTTAAAGTCCACTCTGTGCTCCTGGCCTCCCCATGCGAGATGCAACTAGCTTGGGAGTTGAGCCCTTCAAGTTTAGGGTTTTAGGTTTTAGGTTTTAGGGTTTAGGGTTTAGGGTAAGCGCTGAGTTTAGATAATGTGGTGGAAGGTTTGTGTTTGGTGCTTTGCCTGTGAATGTCCGTCCTTTCCTTACTCGCCTGCAACACGTCACCACATGAAAATAGGGGTGCCTGTTTTACCCAAAAATACTATAATCCTTGTAGACGAACCCTGAAAAGGGTACCCCTATTTTTCGGAAACAGCCACATTGTTTGTGGTGGGTTGATCGGAACTTCAACTAAAGCAGACATCGACCTAAAGCAAACACTGAAGCTAAATGACCCAGGAAAAATTTGGAAATGCCGATGGAAAGGGTTTAGGGCTTAGGGTTTAGGGTTTTAGGGCAGAGGGTTTAGGGCTTAGGGTAACCCTAAACCCTAAACCCTAAACCCGAAAAAAACCTACGAGTCCACTCAGCAGAATGCACATTGCACATCGTTGATACCCTCCACCTTTGCTTCCGAAGATTCACAGGCCCCAAGAAGTCGTTCAGACTCCCTCCGCATCTCGGGCCACCCTCTGCAAGCTTCGAGGGCCTCAGGGGTTTAGGGTTTAGGGTTTAGGGTTCAGGGTTTAGGGTTGAGGGTCCCGAAGCCCAAAGCAGATAAGGGCTTGGGGCTGTAAGATGGGCTTGAGGATGGGGCTTCGCGGATTGAGCAGCATCCATTGCTTCGCTGAAAGGACCCTAAACCCTAAACCCTAAACCCCAAACCCCAAACCCCAAACCCTAAACCCTAAACCCTAACCCTAAACCCTAAACCCCTGAGCCCCTCGAAACTTGTCATTCTTTGCAGCGGAACCTGTGAGGAGCTGACGCAGTGAGCGCAGTGAGCTTCGCCCGGTAGCGCTGAGACAAAAGTGCGCCGGGCCTTGGGGGTTCGGGTTTAGGGTATGAGGGTTTTGGGTATCAGGGTTTAGGGTATCAGGGTTTTGGGTTCGGGTTTAGGGTATCAGGGTTTTGGGGAGGCAACCCAAAATCTGAACGCCCCATTCCTCACACAGTCTTCTTCAGCTAAGATATCGAAGTCCTATGAGGCCTCATAGCTTTTGGAAGTATTGAGCCGGGATTTAATGTACGGTTGTTTCGGCTCGGGGTTTGGATCTGCCTTCGATGATTTCGATAACTTTTCAAGACTTGTGCTGGAGTCTCAAAGGAGATCTTGCAACCCTAAACCCTAAGCCCGAAGCCCAAAAACCCTAGTGAGTGCCTTGTGCACTCAAGGGCTCCTATGCAAAACAAGCTGTATAGAATGGAAATAAAGTTTTCTTTGTACGGGGAGATGATCTTGGGGTTGTATTCTGATGTGCTTTTAAAAGAACGTTAGGATGATATAAGTGTTCATCGAGAAGCTGGTTTGAATGCATGAACTACAGTCATAGTTCACTTAACATTACGCCTGTGTTCCTTGAGATCACTCTTTTTCCTCTTTCACATGGTGCGGCCCACCCCTGCCGCATCCTCTGCCCGCCTCGACCTGACGTTTTAGTCAAACTCCGTCAAAACTCTTGGAAATGTTCATGACAACCAACCGGGACAATTTTCATTCAGAAGAAATGCACGAAATCTTCTTTTACCGATCTTTTGAGAAAAAATGTGCAGCAGCTGAAACGTGAATCGAGCAGAGGCCCTTCGCCTGGACGATTCCATGAACTTTCCTCGAATTTTCCTGAGATGGTCCGGAGACCGTTGCCATGAAATTTTCAGGAAGTTTCATTACTCTGATAATGAAATTTCCGGGAACGCTCATAAAAGAACAATCCTTGAAAATTCCGGGAAGTTTCATAAAGATGGAACTTGCCGGTAAATGTTGTTAACCCTATTCCGGATCAAATTTTCCACCCTTTTTGTTATGGTCCACTGCCGGCGTGCGCAGAGGACGTGGGCAGGGGTGTTCTCAGGGCACTGAAGGAGCGTAGCGTGTGCCCGGGTTTGGGGTTTAAGGTTTCGGGTTTAGGGTTTCGTTTCTATTAACCATCCAAAGGTTGTGTGGAACAAGTTTGCACAACTTCTGCCTTTTTGCACGCTTTATGAACTGACACTCTGGTTCGCGGTTGGGCAAGCCGGTGGACTTTCAAGAGGGAGGATGTCTCCTCATGTCTCCTCCACCGCGACGTAGGTTTAGGGTTTAGGGTTTAGGGTTTAGGGTTTAGGGTTTAGGGTTTAGGGTTTAGGTTTCGTAGAATTAGAAGCTCGACGTGACAGGGGCATATCCGGGTTCTGTTTCTCTCTCTCGTTGTCTCTCTGGCGTGACGTGACAGTGATATGTCCGTGTTCTCTGTCCACCTCTCTTTGTCTCTCTGACGTGAAAGCAGTATATCCAAGTTCTCTCTCTCTTGTTCTTTCTTGCTCTCTTTCTCTTTATCTTTCTCTTTCTCTTTCTCTTTCTCTTTCTCTTTCTTAAAGAAACCCGATAACCCGAGCCAAACCCATGAACCTTTCGACCTTAGATCGTAGCACCCTTAACCTTCCAAAAGCTCTGGCATGGAAGTTTTGCCCAAATGCCAGCGTGCGTTCATCTGGCACGGCCACCGACCCATACAGGAACGCCGCCAGTCAGCAAGAGGGCGGACTAAGGGGGTTTTGGGCGTCCGGGTTGGGGCCTTGGAGGTTTCCCGAAACCCGAAACCCCACACCTGAAGGGGTTTTTGAGGGTGCAAGTTGAGCCAGCTCGAGGCCTACTGAGCTACCAAGTGAGACATAAACCCTGCATACCCCATAACGTAACCCTAAACCCGTGGACTTGAAGGCTTGTGACTCAGAACCAGTTTTGTAGAGACACTTATTGGAGCATAAACGGACGGGGCAAGTATTCGACCCTCAACCTTAAACTCAAAACCCTCTTCCCCATAGACCAAACCCTAAACCCTAATCCCGAAACTCTGCTCATCTTGGGTGTTCGCATCCCTCGTCGCACCTTCAGCTTTTACGCCGCTTGGCGGACCCAAACCTTGAACCCTAAAGGGCTTACAGGGCTTTTCATAGGGTAGATCGGGTTGTAGAGGGTTTAAAGGGCGTGCAGGGGTTTACAGGGCTTACAGGGGCTTATGGGATTCATAGAGTGCAGAGGGTTTCGGGAACCCTCTTCGCGGCAACATGAGGCCATCCCATCAGAGCATGGCTGAGCAGACGAACAGCGGGAAGTTGCGAATTGGCAAAGTCCTGTCTCTTTGTCATAGTGGGGTAACGTTCTGCATTTTTAAGGGTACTTAAACTCCATAAGAAATAACAGTTCTATTTTTAACACTCTCCCAACCATTAACTAGGTCTATCGTCACGATTGCGCTGTCAATCGCCCTGGCGATCCTTGCCTTTATCCTGCTTCGCACTGAGATTGCTCCGCCTGCTTTGGGCTTCACAATCATTGGCCTGGTGGGCGTCTTGTTCCTGGTGGGCGCGACTGCCCTGGGCATCGTGACGTCCTTCGAGGGGAGATCCCCGTCTTCGTCGCCTGTGAGACCCATCAGCAAGGGCGAGACGGCGCGCAATCATGAGGAGGAGCGCGTTTGGGCCGTCATGAGCCATGGAGATCTGGAGTCGGGAAACCCTGAGTTTCTTAGTTCGCCGTTAGTTGAACTTTACACTTGTTGGGGTTCCTTATGTATAGGAATGTTGAAGTTTACCTTTTTTTCTTCCTTATGTAGTAGGAACATTAAAGTTTAACCTTTTTTCCCCCTTGGTTATTGGAGAAGTAAGGTTTCAGAAGGTTGCCCTCAAGCCAGCAGGGTCAAGACACATCGACCTCAAGACCTCCGCGAGCGTGGTGCCGGTGCCAAAGCCAGATGCCTCGGCTGTGAGCAAGGCCTGAGGCCCCAAACCCCAAACTTTGGGATGCTCCCCCTTATGCCAGCACTTCTTAGTAGGGAGTATCGTACTCCATATTCTAGTAGCTGTAATCCTTATTAGGGACTGTTAGTATAAGGGGGAGCATCCCAACCCCAAACTCATAGATGTAAGACCACACCAAGAAGCCTTCTTTTTGGGAACCACCAGGGACCGTACAGATTGTGAATAGGGCTGAGGGCTTGGAAGCCCTAGCGCCACATTAGACTAGACCTTTAAGGGTAGTTATTTTGGCCCCTTAACATGGTCTCTGACCTTTCTTAAAAGGTTCTGAAGTATGGGCCCTTGGGTTTATAGGTACATATAAGGGGTCCCCGCTTTATACGGCCCCATATGAAGGGACCATGGAACTAAACCCTACACCCTAAACCCCAAACCCTAAACCCTAGGGCCCTAGACCATGTAACTGCCCTAAGAAAACCCTCTTCACCAAAGCTGGCAGCCCCGGAGGCTTGCGCGCTCTGCCCGAAGACGTTCGGGTGCAACACCCAGGTGGCAGTGCTCCCTTGCGGGCACATCTTTCACGCGCCTCGGCGCGAGAAGCGAGTTTTTGATAGTTTTTGTCGGCTTTCCTGAATTTCGCAAAGACCCTGCAAGGTCCAAATTCTAAGCCTCAAACCCTGGACGAATCCTCGGCCTTAAGAGGGGTGCTTTCTCGTGCGTTTGGGGTGGAGCCCGGGCATGAATTCGGAGGCCTGTCATGGGGTTTTCGAAAGTCCTTGCGGGTTACCCCTGCATACTACCACGCAGACTCTCGAATTCCCGTCAAGGTCAAGTGCATCGTACCGTGGTCGATGACTGAAGCAGGATCACGCTGTCCGCAGTGCAGGGAATCCTTTCGTGCAGTAAGCAAGCACCCGAAAGGAGGAAATTCTCGATGTGCGACAACGCTGTCCTCTAGTTAAAGGTTTCATGGGCCCTTAATATGGTCCCCTACCCTCTTTGAAGGGTTCTGATGCGTGTGCCCTTCGGTTGTATAGGGTTTCTAGGGGATACATACGGGGGGGCGACTTTTGAGGGCCCCAGACGAAGGGACCATGAAACCATTTCAAGAGGGTCCTCTGGGCCCTGCACGAAGTGTCGAGAGCTGTACGCCGCGCATGGGCATGTAGAGGGCCCGGCATCCCCTCCCTTTTTCGATAGGAGCTTCCTAATCCCTAAACCCTAAACCCTAAACCCTAAACCCTAAACCCTAAACCCTAAACCCTAAACCCTAAACCCTAAACCCTAAACCCTAAACCCTAAACCCTAAACCCTAAACCCTAAACCCTAAACCCTAAACCCTAAACCCTAACCCTAAACCCTAGACCCTAAACCCCATACTTCACCGAATCAGGCGTCATGACCTTGCACTTCAGTCCTAACACCGAGATCCTAAACCCGGAGCCCCGAAGAAGAGCAGACTAATTGAGGAGGACTTTGTGGTCAGGGATTGGCGAGCTCGCAGTCCATTATGTAAAAAGCCTGGGCAGCTAAAAGCTGCTCTGCTAGGCTAGGCCCGGTATTCCTCCCCCACAGTTTTCCTCCATTCGTGATGGATGATGAGAGTTGGGAGTTTCCACCGAAACAGTCCGAATCAGGCATCGTTATGTTGTGGCGTTGGAGTTCTCCAACCAAAACGAGTGGACTTTTGAGGAATATGGTCGGCCTGCAGGAGTGCTCCCCCCTTTGTGGCGCTTTACTGTAACTTTAGATCCTTAGCCTTTTTGGGTCTGTTGGGTTTCTTAACAAGGCAGCTAAAAGTTTGATTTTTTACTACCCTCCTAAGTGCAGCCAAGCCCCACTAGGCTCGGTTTCCTCCTTCTGTGGGGAAGCTTAGCCAACAGGGCAGCGCCATTTGGGGGTTATCAAGATAGGGCACCCCTAAAACAAACCCCCCAAGGAGTAGGATTCCGTTATAAAAAAGAGCCCAGTAAGGTACCCCCAAGTTCGCAAACCCCCGTTTTGCGCACATGAAAATGCTCAGCTCTATTTTGGGAGTCGAGATGCCCCCGTCTATCGCATCGAGATGCACGGGATCTGCACGGACAGGCTGATGCTGATTGTTGTATATTGTGGAGCAGAGAGACCCAGCACAAGACGGGAAGGAATCAAGGTTTAGGGTTCAGGGTTTAGGGTTCAAGGTTTAGGGCTTAGGGTTTAGGGTTTCGGCTTTAGGCTTTAGGGTTTAGGGTTAGGGTTTAGGGAGGGGTTTGGCGGTTACACTGCTCATCAGCCAACCTGCTTGATGTTGGCCTGGCGAGGAGAGCTTCGGAGCTTCCGAGCCGGGAGAGCCTTTTTTTGAATTGAGGTGCCGTGTCGACAGGCTGGATGCCCCCCCCCTTCACCATCTTAGCGTCCTTGTCCATGCTGAGAGTGTGGTTGAAGATCAGTTCGCAATCATGCATACTACGAGTACAGGCAGATATCAGTTTGAATAACTCCCACGACTATGGGGCGGGTGTCAATGTCCAGCTAGACAATAGTGCACAAATCGACAGGGCCTGGCCCACCGTAAATTGACTGGGTGCGGCATAATGCTCTCATCCGATATCAAGACCGAAATGCTTGAAACACCCCTTTGAATGAGACTAGACGGAGGAAGTGATTGCCTAGCATGATCCCGACCGACCACAGTCAGAGCAGGAAAAACTAACGAGCCCACCCACAGGACATGAACAACGAAGAGATCTGATTTTTCCTTGATCTCTAAATGCTTGACCACATCTTGTGTCTTCGATTGCTGTTGAGTTGTTTGATACCTTTTGGGAGAAGATTATTACCTTTGATGTTGGTTCAGAATGCTTCGGATATAGAATTGACAAATTTAAACTTAGGCTCGTATCGTT